AGCCACACTGCTTCCTCTGATTCAGAGATAATAGCTATGCTTCAATCCAGTAATAATGCTGGCTTTCTGGATTAAGAACAGATAACATATTCAGAATTTGGACACACAGCTATATAGTCAGTGAGTGTTGCTGCCTTCAACCCTTTCTCTCTGGTGCTTTCTCTGTCTCATGCCTCCAAGGACAACCCCTGGACAACATACGCTGACCTAGGTCAGTAATAGTCTGCAACTCACAGGAATCCTTGTCGGATGAACATTAATTGCCATTTGCTCTGTGTTAGGCACCATGGGAGGCAGCTGGCCCACTTTATGAGCAAGATTTAAACTTGGGAGGAGGTGCGTCAGATGTCTACCTGCAGCCACAATCACACATCTGATCCAACCAGCAGCTCGGGCTGGTGAGGAGAAGCTTGGGAGAGATAGAGGTGTGACAGCAGTGAGGAGGTGAAGTCTTCTCCTAGTCTAGAACCTTCGGCCTTGAAATTGAATCCACTTACTGGAGTATCCTGGGCCAGTTCCTGCTCACATGGCACTTCATCTCTTAGGTTTGCCTGTCATACTCAACCCTGCCCTCTGCTCCCTGGTCTTGTCAGCAGCCTCATGAAGACTGATAACATCTTCTTCTCAAGACAGCACTTGTCACACTTAAGAGCTTGTGTCCCTTGGGTAAGATAACTTAACGGTGTATTTATTTTTCTGTTCACATTTTGCATGGAAAATGAGCTAAAGGTTGTTAATAAAAAGAACATCTTGCAGATGGCCCAGCAGAAGCAATGAATGACATCTTTAAGAAACTGCTCAGTCAACAATGGTACTTCTAGAAGCTTCTGCAGCAACCCTGGACACAGATGATTGCTAGAATCCTCAGCATCTGGTAGTAATACCACAGTGAGCACCCACCTCCCTGACCTGTGTGAATTGCTCCCAGTTTGTCTCCTTAATTAGACTGTGAGACCCTGAAGGGCGAGGGGTGTACTTATCCATCTTTTCTTTCTGTCTAACTCAGTGCCCGGGACTCATTAATGATACCATCAGTATATCCTGGGAGGAATATTCTCTCACTCAGTTGGTGTTAGGAGGAAACTGCAGGCCCCAGGTTGGGGGTTTTGGGGTCCTTTACTGTCCTATGGAGCAGGCTGTTCAGGCCCTGTTAGCTGTAATCCTCCCCTTCCTTCTCTTTCCTTCCTTCTTCCTTCCCTTTCTTCCTCCACTGGATGGAGCCCAGAGCTTTGTGCACGCTAGCCAAGCACTCTCCCACTGAGCTACACCCTCAGCCCTGTATGTTTTCTATTTCCCTCCTGTTGTATCCCCTCATTTGGATTCAAAGGAAGCTCACTGATTCTGGGTACTCCTATCTAACCACAACTTCCCTGTGCCACAACAGCTTCACCTCCATATTACCAGATCCCTGAAAGCACAGGCCCAAGAGGAGGTTATTTAAGACTAGAGCATCCATCTTCCCATGCAGGACACAGGGCCCAGGTCATCATGCCTCATCTGATAGCACAGCCACTCAACCACACAACCCCAAACTTCCAGGACATCTGTGAGCCTGGGGTGTTTTCTACCATCTGGTTCTGCATGTTGCATAATCTGACCAAGGCTATGTCCCCTTAGAGACACCTACTCTTCATGTTGAGCCGTAGAACTCATAGCCATGTCCCCATGGCTTGGCTATTGGAAAGCATCACACACAAACGACAGCCTTTGTAACTCCTTCACTTTCAATGCATGGCTATAAATCCCAAAAAGGCTCCCAGGACTTGCCAGTGATTTCACAAAATTTCCACAGTATATTTACTTTCTACACTCCAAGATGAGGATTTCACATGTTCTTTTTCTCTTCCAACCACCACATTCCCCATTCCCTTCTAACTCCGAGCTGATGCTCTTGTTTCCTATTTCACTGACAACATAAAAATATTCTGAAGAGACCTCGACGCTCTCCTCCACACCTATCTGCCTTGGCGTTTGTAGCCCTTGTATTTCCTGTCATCTCCTCCACTTGACACTGAGTCCTGGATCCTCTCTCACCTACACCATAAGTATCCCTCTCTATTCCACCATCCCCATTAGAATAGAATCATGATCTCATCTCTCTTACCTCTGAAAACTTTCCCTCCCTTCCTCCAGCTATATCCCCTTCCTGGTTCCACTGTAGCAGAACTAGGAAGAGAGTTGTCTATTTTCCATTTTCCCACTCCATTTCTCTTTTTCTCTAGAAAGCACAGAGTCAGGTTTTTGTCCCCATCACCCCCTTAAAGCTGTCACCCTCAACAGCAACCTTCCATCACTTCCATCTCGTTGTCGCCAGTGGTGCTGTTGTCTGTCTTCTACTCACTTGGCTACTCTCACCTTCTGGAAGCCTCACATACACAACAATCTCTGAATTTTCCTCCTACCTCCTGGGCCACTTCTCCATCTTTTTTGCTGGTTAGTTCTTTTCCTGACCTCAAGTATCAGAGTTCCTCAAGGCTCAGTTCTTTCTTTTGTCTCAATACCTTTTCTCCAGCAAAGCTCTTCATTTTTGTAGCTTTATATATGGTGACATGTCCAGTTTCTATCAGTAGCCCACCTTCCCCTCTAAGCTCCAAATTCATCTATCTATTGCCTACCTGGCATCTCCACTTAAGATGTCTAAGGTATTTCACAGCACACTGTATACAAAATAAATGCTCCCAATTCCCACCTCCGACAGCCCCTTCAAAGCCTAGTCTTCTATTCTCAGTAAAATGCACTCCCAGTTACATAGTTATTTAGACCTCAATCCTATAAATTACCCTTAATTACTCTTTTTCACTCTATGCTGAAATTTGTCAGCTCTCCATTTGAAATAAGTGCTGAAAGCGATCCCTTACCCACTCCACCTGTCCTTCCTGTGTCCATACAGCCTCTTGCTGCTTCATTTCTCTTAACAGCCTCCTCACTGGCTTCCCTGTTTCCACTTTTGCTCACCCCCCAAAACTCATGCACTATTCAATAACTGGAACAAAAGTATCAATGAGTAACATGTATAAAATGAGACTAGCCATCTCCTGCTAAAAGCCCTCAAACAGCTTCCCTTCCTAATTAGAATCATATGCAAAGGTAACTTTGGCCTAGAAGACTCTGTGAGACCTGAGGTCATCTATCCTCAGCCTCTTTCTGAATTTGTCTTCCTCACTGTCTGTAGTTCAGCCATGGTGGTCTCCCCTTTTGCTTCCCTGTACTTGTATGGCCTGAGAGCTCTCCCTCTCAGATCTTGGTCCTCACACCAGTCAGGACTCCACTCAAATGTCACCTTTGCAGAGTGGACTTTCCTGACACCTGCTCCATCCTCTTGTTGCTCTCTGTCCTCTTATCTTTGTTGATGTTTTGCTAATGCTTGCTAACCCTTGACTCTTTAAGGGTGTACTCATTTGTGTGTGTCTATCTCCTTCAAAAGAATGCAAACATTTCACAGGCAAAGACTTTTTTGCTTTGTTCACCCTAAGCTATAAAACAAGTGCTCAATACATACTTGTCAAGTGAGCAGGTGAATAAGTGTGCCAAGTTCCAGTGGCAGTGAGAGGTGGGATACAGGAAGGCGGGCAGGTGGTCAGCTGGTTGGGTAGAGTGTTATCTCCACCAGTTCAAAACTGTGCACTCTGGGAGCAGAGTAAGTCACAGTGACAGGCAGGTACAAGGCAAGGCTAGGTGGTGGATGGAAAGGGGCCTCTCCAGCAGCCTGTCCCATGGAAACTTCTGCCATGTTAGAAATAATGTACATCTTTGCCAATGAAAATAGTAGCCACTGGCTACATGGCACTATTGAGCACCTCAAGTGACTTGTGGGATAGAGGAACTGAATTTTGATATTATTAAATATCAAAACAGTTACATATGCCTGGTGACTATGGTATCAAAACCTGAAGACTAGCTCTCCCACCCCAGAATTTCAGGATAACAGCTGCTTAAAGGCTGAGTGAAATACAGAGTTTGGCACAATGTCTGGAACATAGTTGGCACTCAAAATATGGCACTGCTATTATGACAGAGTTGCATTAAGTACATGCCGTTTAAATGTGGCTCTAAGGCACCTGGAATGGTTTTTTATTAATTTTCACTTTTTGTTAGAATTAGTGGATAACCAGTATGTGGGTCTATATTTGTGCTCATGAACTAAAAACAGCAAACAACCATTTTTGGATCTCACTGAAGGCCTTTCAGAGATAGATAACTATTCCAAGGAGATCAGCCTGCAGATACTTATAATGAGCTAATTAGTTTTGACAACAGCTTACTTAGCATCTGCAAAACACTGAAACTGCAACATTACAGTATTATTTTCAAACAATGTCATCTGCAACTTCCTGGATGATTCTGGATAAGAGCAGTGTCTGTTTTAATACTTAGCATTAAAATAAGTAAGTATTTAGTTATTGACAACATTATAAGAAAATCTTTAAGGCTTAAATGGTTTGGACATAAAATCATTTTTGTTGTTAGTGGTTTATTCTACATCCTTCCATACTGAATCCAGAATATAAAATTAACAGATATAGCACATAGGCAGACCATTTGAATCTTTATGAACAATCTAATGCAATAATAAACTCACACACTTGTCCAGTATAAACCTGGGGCTTATTTTCAGGCCAAGGGATTTGCATTCCCCATGACTGGCAGAGGGAAGATAGCATTCCACAACCTGCCTGACTACTCAGGGGAGACTCGAGTCTCCAGAGAGGGCTGAGAGATTTAAATTAAACACATGCTTAAAAGCTTTAAGGAGAGTTGACATTCTTATTAAGGAGACCAATTAATCTGCATCAGCCGGAAGCCACTTTACAGTTGATGAAAAAGTGCCCTAGGAACCCAGGTAAATGAGATGGGAGTAGAAAGAGAGGGAAAATTCGCGTTCCCACCAGGGGCCTGTCCCTGACTGTCACTGCTGTTTGAAACGCAGTCTCTCTTCCACTCACCGGAGAGGAAAAGAAGGGAGACCCCTAGACACCAAGGCAGGGGCTGCAAAGACTTACCAATGGGCATCACTAAGAAAAAGGGCAGCCAGCAGAGCACGAAGCAGCCGACCACGATGCCCAGCGTCTTGGCTGCTTTCTTCTCCCGGGAAAACTTGAGGAGCCGCACGGAGAAGTGCGTCTTGTTCTTGGAGCTGGTCACCCCATCCCCTTCTGCGGGGACGTTTTTGCGGTGGATGCGGAGCGTCACTTGCTCGGAGTCCGACTTGTCAGTCTTGAGGCCCGACGTGAGGCCCCGGCTCTCCCTCTTGGCCACCACGTAGACCCGGCAGTACATGACCAGGATGATGGCCAGCGGCACGTAGAAGGAGCCCAGCGCCGAGAACAGCACATAGCCCGGATCCTCGTTGATCTGGCAGATGGTCTCGTCCTGAGGGGCCGGCTGCCTCCAGCCGAAGAGCGGCCCGATGGAGATGACCAGGGACAGGGCCCACACGCAGAGCAGAGCGCGCAGGCCCCTCCTCTGGGTGACGATGGTGGGGTAGCGCAGCGGGTAGCTCACGCCGATGTAGCGGTCGATGGAGATGATGCAGAGGCCCATGATGGACGCGGTGCAGCACAGGACGTCCACCGCTGCCCAGATAGTGCAGAAGGCCCTGCCGAAGGCCCAGTAGCCCAGGACCTCGAAGATGGCCGAGAAGGGCAGCACGGTGGAGGTGAGCAGGAGGTCGGCCACTGCCAGGTTGACGATGTAGTAGTGAGTGACCGAGTGCAGATGCCGGTGACAGGCCACCGAGAGGATCACTAAGATGTTCCCCAGCACCCCGAAAAGAATGAGGCCCCCCAAGATCACCCCGAGCAGAATGGCCTTGGAAATGTTCACTGGCGTGGGCGGGTGGGTGCAGTTGGAGCTGTCGGAAGCATTTCCAGAGAGAAACACCATGGTCCCAGCCGGGGCTGGCAGGTCCAGCTCTGCAGGGCCACCGTGGGCGGGGGCGGGATGGGGGCGGAGGCCAGAGCAAGGGGGCCGGCAGTCAGAAGGCCTGGGCTCGGTTGGGGGTGAGAGAGAGCCCGCGGGAGGGAAACAACCCTGGCCAGTCCTGGGAGCCCTCGGAGGGCCAAGCCGAAGCGCAGGGCACTGGAGGTGACATGGCGAGGGGTGCGCGGGCCGCCAAAAGCCTCTCCACTCGCTGCTGCGGGCCCAGGGGCCTGGTGCCTCCCCACCCGAGGCCGCCTGCAAAGCCCAAGGGGAATCCTTTGCAAAATGCAGTCCCAGAATTACCAGAGTCCGCTTCTCGGTGCAGTCTGGTCCGTCCTAGTTGGGAGAAGACTGAGCATTCTGCACATAATGTGGAATTCAGTCTTCCACCAACCCACAGTCAACTACGGGTCAGCCTTCGATGCTCAAAGGCAGGGACCGCAGTTCCGACGCTGGGCTGCCGCTGGCCTCCCGCTGGCCTCCTCCTGTTCCTGGTTCTAGGCGCACGGGCAGGGCGACAGGGGTGTGAAATATTTGCAGAGTCTGGGGCGACGCTGGAGCTCGGTTTGCCCGCGTCCTCCTGAAAGAGCGGAAAGAGAAATGCGGCCCTTGAGCCTGGCGCTCCGGGAAGCGAGGCGGTGCCAAGCCCGACCCGCGGCGGACTCCAGCTGGGAGCCCCACGACCCTCACTCGGCCCCCGCGAGGAAGGAGAGGCGGGAGGGCGGGCCGACCGCTCTGGCGTCCCTCACCACCCAACCCGCTGTCCGGGACTTCGCCTTGTCGCCTTTGGCCAAGTTCAAGATGCAAAGCACAAAAATAAACAAGAAAATAAAAATCACTACCAACAACCCCCAGCCCAAGTCCCCAAGCTATACAACAAGAAGAACACAAGCCGACTCGCGGAGGCCAGGGTGAGACGCCAGCGCAGCGACAACAAAATCACGAAGCCCGCGCGAGGCGCGACTGCGGCGGGCGTGAGTCGCAAGCCCGGAGCCAGGTCGGAGCAATCCGGAGATCTACTCGGTTGCCACCCGAACAGGTTGCATAGCGGTCACCTGGAGGGGGCCACACGGGAGCCGCAGGGCCCGCGCCACGCACACGTTCGCGACGCGCAGTGTGCACTCGGGGTGCGGCGCGCGGGGCCGTGCAGCAGCCGGGGGGCCGCGAGCCAGGTCCAGCAAAGCCGAGCGCACCCCAGGGCTGAGCGCGACCCAGGTCCGGCCAGGCTTGGTTGCCAAGGCCAGGTCGCGAGCCCCCCCCCCCCCAGGCTCCGGGGAGCCGGGGCGGAGCGCGTCGCTCTGCCCAGGGGCTCCGCAAGCGGTGGTCACTGCGGATTCCGCAGGCGTAAAATCCCGCCCGCGCGCCTGGGGACGGGGGACATCTCGGGCTCTCCGGGCTGGGCGGCACGATGTGCGGCGGGAACCTGGGTTTCCACAGCCCCACACGGACCGAGGGACTCGGAACAGAAGTGCGGGGCATGGGGTCGTGGCCTCTGGCCTCCCATCCCGGGCAAGGCTCTTGTGAAAACCCCAGGCTGAAGCCGGCACAGGTGAGGGCAAACACCGACCACTCGCGCAAACCTCTTCCTACTCCCGAGCGATCCACCGCGGGTTAAAAAGACACTTGTTAGCTAGCAGGCAACTTCCCGGAGCAGGGGAGGGACACGGGCGTGGGGCGGGGGTGCTGGGAAAAGCCGGGTGGAAAAGCGGGCGACGCCAGGGGCGAGCGGGGCTCGGTCCGGCTCGGGACCCGGAGGGGCCTCGCTCTGGCCGCGCGCACTCACCTGCGCGCGATGCGGCCCGGTCCCGCGCGGGGAGGCGCGCACTGGCCTCGGCTCCGGAGCCCCGGGCGGCCGCCTCCTCCCGGTGGGGCGTGGGGACCGTCTCGCCCACGGCCAGACCCTCGGCCCTCTGCACCCGCCGACTCACCGCCCGCACCGCGGGGTCCCCTCCAAACTCCGGACTCGCTGCGCTTCACCTGGGCACTTTAAAATAAAGAGTGAAAAAAGAAAAAAAAAAAACGGAACCCCCACCCCAACAACCAACCAGTAACTCCACTATCACCCTTTTAATATTCAGCTCCTCGACACCAGAAAAGAAAGGCGAGGAACTTTGCAGCTCTCGGTGACGTAACACATGCAGGAGCCCAGCTAGTACCGTAATCTCCTGCTGTTACCGTATTACTCCTCGGCCACTGGCAAAGCGCGCTCCCCGGCCCTGATTTCTTCTCTCGCCAGAGAGTGAGCTGGATTTTAGCTTTTCTATAAAAAGAGAGGTGTGTGTGTGTGTGTGTGTGTGTGTGTGTGTGTGTAATTTGTAGTAAATAACTTTAAATAGCCTGATTTTAAAAATAAATTAAATTGGACACACTTGCCTGATACTACTGCACACATGTTATATTCACAGAAATTCTGGGAAAAAGTTACTTTGAACAACTTAACATTTGGCCTAGGTTTGTTAAAATCAAAGAGCATCTTGTTATGCTAAATATGCAGATAAATTATAATATCTTGAAGTGTTTTAAAAGCAAGTAAAATCAGATAAAATTCAATAAACTGGATTATAATAATAAAATTGTATTCCAGACAGGTAAAGTGAGTGTATCTAAATCTTATTAAATGTAATCCGCCTTATATTTTTTAGTCATATGAGTTTTTAAGCATTGTGTTTGTTCTCTATGTAGTTTCTCGTATGATTTGGTGTTTTTAAGTGGCTATACATTTATTTCCAGTTTTCATTGAAAAATGTTTTCTTTTTTTTCACTTTAAATTACTGGTACTTTAATAGTCACAAGATTTGACATGAAAAATACCACTAATAAATAACAAAAACGGGAAAAGTGTTTTCTTGAAGTACTGTTACTTCTCTTTAATTCTGATTCAGTAATAATTGGAGTATGGAAAGTTGACACAACTAGTTTTATTTGCTTTTTTTCTGGTAAATTCTATGTTCTATTTACCTTATGTTTACACTTGTTCTTAGCCAAAAGGGCCGAGACGTGATATTTACCTTATGTTTAAATAAAACTATATGTATTTCATAATATTAAGAAAAACAAGAATTTTTCCCATTCTAACTTCTACCTCCTAAATCATCTTGCATCTTTATTGATTCAAACAAAGCATACTTTCTTATTTACTGGGCTCCTGGAAGCCCGGTAACAGATAATTTTGAGCAATGGTATAAACTTAAATTCTCTTTCCTGAACACAATCAATATTATTACTTTTCTAAATGCGATAATATTTGGAAGGTGCCTTTAGTGCAATAAATGTCACAGTGTTTGGAGAAATGTTCACCAGAGGCTCAGGGAGCCCTATATCACTGATGACCTAATATGTAGATTTCCTTTTCTTTTGTACACAAAATCTCCCCACCACTGCATCTATAGAGATGGTACCCACACCTCCTACATGTGATGTGCCTTTAATATTATTTTGAAAACATATGCACAAGTGGCTTGTTCATCCATGAAATGAATTTTAGGCTATTGAAGAAGCATAGGGGTGAGCAGAAAAGAAGCAAGATACTTCTGGCCTGATGGAGTCACCTATCCCTCTGGGGTTCAGTCCCCTTAGGTGGAGCAGGCTGCTCCGAGGTTCCCTGGGACTCTAACACCTCATCACCAAATATATGCGGAATGTCTCTTTCACACATTCTATCCCCACCTCCAGCCCCTGGATATGCACTGCTTACTTTCCTACTTGCTAACCTCAGGCTATGAATGTCAGTTGTCTATCAAGTTCTGCTCTATGGTAGATAAAGGAAGGTGAAAATGTCTCAGCTTTGCAAAGTCGAAATCTACAAAGGTCTCTGGGACTCTCAGTCATTCAACTCCTACACATGGGAATTGACCCGACCCTCAGTAACTAACTAGCTGATGCCAAGACCAGAAAAACTTTGTTACCAAGAACCCAGTCCCTTCATGCTGAACTACATCCCCAGACCCCCTTTTTATTTTGAGACAGAGTCTTGTCCACCCTGGGCTTGAACTCGAGCTCCTCCTGCCTCAGTCTCCTGGAGAGCTAGGCTTACAGGTGTCTACCACTGGGCCTGGCTTGGATCCTCTTGAAAGCGTATTTGAAGTGGACATCCTAGGAGGTGACTGAGCTGGACCGGTGGGCAGGTGCAGTGAAGAGAGAGCAAGCTGTGGAGTCATTAAGGTGCTGTCCTCTTCCTCCTAAGACATCACAGCGAGATAGTTTTCTGAGTCTTGGTTTCCTAATTTTCAGAGGGAGATAATGAAATCCCACAGGGTTGTCAGTGGGGTTGAGTGAAATTGTCTCTCTCAAGAATGTAGCCAATAATGCTTATTAACTCTTTTAAAGTCAAGCTTAACCCTTCCCCTCTCCGCTCCTTTTGTGCACTCAAGAATAATATAGTTCTAATTCAGCATAGTCCACGGGCACGGGTACGGTCAGCTGGAGAGTGTTTGAAGTGACCCGAACATTACACTTGGGTCCAGTGGTGAAGTTGAATGATTCAACATAGGGTACTGGGAGAGCTGTTCCTCCTCCCCGTTCTCCTCTTGTCCCACATTGTGATGCTTAATCTTCACTGTCATCTTGATTGGCTTGGGGGACACCTGGGGGCTTAGCATGCACACTTATGGGTGTGTCTGGGAGGATCATGGAAGCATGACCTTGGGCATTATGTCTGGTCCCTGGCTCTTTCCCTGTCTTTTTGCTTCCTGGCAGCCATGAAGTGCTCAGATTCACTCTACCCTGCCCTTCCACCATGATGTTACTGCGTTTGAATTAATGACCATGGACTGAAACCCCTGGAACTCAGAGCCAAAATAAACCTCTCCTCCTTTAAGCTGTGGCTCTCAGGTATTGAGTCCCTGCAAAGGAAGCACTGACCAATACACACTTCTTGAGGGGCTATGTGAATGTGTGTGAACACTCAGGCCAGCATCCATGCAGCCGCTCCTTGGCTGTGGGCCTTGGGGTGCACACTCTTGTGATATTGTCTGTCCAGAGAGGATGAGCCCAGGTAAAAGGCCTGAAGGCCCTAAAAGAGACTGTGTGGTCATTTAGGGTAGGGGATTCTGGGACCCAAAGCTTGGCATAGGAGAGGGAATACAGGCTCCAGACAGGCACATTGCTTTAGCCTCATGGAGCCGGGGGAAGGCCATTGTCAAACAGAGTCAGAGTTGAACTCTGTAAAGACTGAAACCCAAGGAAAGACCCCTCCTGCCTGGTGCAAAGGGAGCTACTCTGTAGACTTCAGGTGTGATGGAAGCTGGGGAGGTTCTGGGAAGGCTCATGGGTGATATTGCTTAAGACTTGCAGGACAAGCAGCATTCAGATGAGTAAACAAAAGTAGGAAGGTGAATTAGCAGCTGCATCACAGTGGTGTGTGTGTGTGTGTGTGTGTGTGTGTGTGTGTGTATTCTGAGACACAGGAAGCACTGTCTGCTTGGAGACGAGGGGCCCAATCAGCACACACTCGATGGCTTCGATTGGCAGGACTTGAGTGATTGGTGAGAAAGTCAGCCGGCGTGAGAGATTTTGAGGTTAAAAAAAAGATTCTGTCAATCATTCTCTTAGAAAACAATGGACAATGGAATTAGGAGCTGTTTTCTGGGATTTATGATTCCAAGTGACAGGGTGGAGGGCTTATTGTTAGCATCCACTGAAAAAACCCCCCCGGCTTTTCAACTAATTCTCTTCAGGTAAAATGGGAGGAAAATGAAAAACACTACCCAGAAAGATATTGATGCAGCATCAAGTCACAATTCTCCAAACAAGCATTGTGTTCTAATCCTTTATCGAACTGAGGCAACTGTACAGTGCAGGACACTGCTGAAGGGAGGATTTGATGAGATAATAACTCTGCCTTTGGTATCACTTGCTCACATTCTTGTCTCCCAGAGAAAATAACGTGCCCCACATCTTGTGAGTTGAATCACTTCATCTATGCATTATAGGAATGTCATCATGGGACTCTGGTGTCCAGTTGGCCCACAGCCAACCAGCAACTTTGGTCTTGTACAGCACCTGAGTTAAGCCACATCAGTCACATTCTCTCTATATCTTTGTCAAATATTATCTGAAAAGGGAAGCAAAAGACCTCAGTCAATACCTTTACCAAGTGTAGAAGTGCTTTGCCTTATTTCTTCACCTGCAGATGGGCTGTTACAGGCACATCGAAATGTTTATTGACCTGCATTTGATTTTAAAATGCATGCTTATGACAGCACATTTTTAAGTCAAACATGTACGAAAATAAAAGTGATCACATTTTCTCATTTTTGGCTCATGAATGTAAATTATATTCATAGAAAAATACACGTGAAATGTATACATTCTTTTATTATGTGTGTAATATGTACATATTGTATTGTACATATTACATGCAATACTGTGTTTCTACAGTTACAGATTTCACTTTTCTACTTATATGTTGCATGAACTCATTCGCATATTATTTGTTTTTTTTTTGTTTTTTTGTATTTTTTGGTACTGGGGATCGAACTCGGTCCTTATGCTTGCGCAGCAGGCGGTGAAACCACTGAGCTAAATCCCCGGCTGCATATTATTAAATGTGTACTAAAATATGATTTACCACAGCTGCACAGTATTTCAGTTCTGAGTACATGCTGTGTTCTGAATGTTTCTACTGTCCTTCCCCACATTCACACATTGAAACTTAACCTGCAAAAAATAGTGTGAAACTTGGAATCTTTGGGAGGTGACTGGGTCATGAAGGGAGTGACCTTATGAATAGGATTCGTGTCCTTACAAGAGAAGTATGAGGCAGCCCTTCCCACTTTCTACCAGTGAGGAAATATAAGCAGTGTCATCCACAGAGGAACAGGCCTTCCCCAGATGCCCAGTCTACTAGGACTTTGATCTTAGACTTCCCAGCTTCCAGAACCGTGAGCCATAAATTTCTTTTGTTTGCAAATTATCCAGTCTAAGGTGTTTTGTGACAGTAGCCTGAATGGACCAAAACAGTATGATAAATTTAAGTATTTAGTTTTTCAAAAATTATACTATAATTTTTCTTAAGATTAATTTCCATGACTATAGAGGACTAAAGATTATGAGCACTTAAAAAGTTATAATACATATTGCCTTCTATAAAGCTTTTACAAATATAACTATAAAATGTAAATTCCCAATAGTAGTATATGGGATGATTTTTTTTGTCCCTTCTCAAACTTGGGCATTTATAATAAAATAGACACATATGTAATTATATGTAAATGACATAAATCTTAGCCAATTTGGTAAATAAAATATATCTAATTAAAAACTTTGTGTTTTTAAATTATTTCACATTTATTCCAC